GTAAATCATAAAGGAAATGAGTTGTCTGTGAATCACTGGAGTATGGGGTCTAGAATGAAGGAGGTGAAATTCTCCCTGTGGTCTCAGTGAGGGCTTCATGATCCAGGTACCACAAGCACCAAAGAAGGTCCTCAGGGCGTGGTGACTGTTTAAACAGGAGTGATGCTGCTGGAGCAACAGGTCACCCAAGCTGTTTCCAAGGTCATAGCTACCACTTTTTTTGATGGTTTGCCTAATCCAACATTTCCTAAAGCAACCTTCTTCTGGGATGTTAACAGGTGCTAGATGGGGAAAGAAGTGATTTCTATAATAAAAAAAAAGAAAGAAAGAAAGAAAAAGAAGAGAAAGTTAGATTTCTTTAATGGAAAGACTTTTCCAAGGCTTTAGTATGCCACTGAGCTTACTATGCCACTATGCTTTACCAGCCTCTAAGAGGGAGCAGGCAACACTCCCCCCACACACAGACCCACAGACCGGAGCTCTATCCCCACCCCCACCCCCAGCACTTCAGGGGACCAGGGCTTCCTGGAACACATGGCTGGAAAGGTGGCTGCCTATCTGTGTATGGATTGGCATTAACCAAAGAACGGAAGAGAAGGAAGTTGCAAAATAGGGCTGCAGGATGTGTGGGTAGCAAACACCCCCAGGCTGCCGAAAGGTTCCCAATGGACCCTGCAAGAAGGGAAACATTGGAGACTCTAACAGCTTTGGTTTCTCATTTCTTGGGATGTTTTCTTCTCAACCTTTTTTATCTATAATATTCTCACACTGATATAAGATGTGTATCACTTTAGATCTGGCTGCAAAAAGACTGCAATAGTGGCTGGAATTAGATAAAAGTGTATATTTCTGTCACGTAAAACCATATAGAAGAGGCAGCTCAAGGTCAATAGGGAATAAATATGGCATCAGGGACCCAGGCTCTTTCAGTCTTTTTTCTCCGTATGTACCTTCTAGTACCAAAAGTTACTGGAGCTCTAGGATGCCAAGCAATAGAAAGGAACAGAAGAAAGAGGAGGTGTAGCTCTTCTTTTTAAAGAGTTTTCAGAAATACTTCAGAAGACTTCTGCTTACATCTCATTATCAAAACTTGGACAAAGGGCCACACCTAATTGCAAAGGAGGTTGGGGAATGTATTTAACCTGGAGGTAACATGCCCATCTCAGAACTGGAGGTTCGTGCATGTAGGGGAGAATAGATACTAGGGAACAATTAGCACTCTACCGCACATCAAATACTCTTTCTCTAGACAAAACACTTTGGTGCAGGCTGACAAACCTGAGTTATGCCCTGTGATGTTTGGGTTTCAAGCTGGATGGGAAAATTTCTTTTCTTCTATGGTTACTGAGTAGAAAAGACTCTGGAGGGTTTAAAGCTCTGGATCCCCCAGCATGTGGAGAAAGCATGTGTAGATGGAGAGAGCAAAGCCAACATGCGGTGAGCCAGGCAGGCCAGAGACTGCAGGAAGAGAATGACAGAGGTGCTGATGGATGGAATGATCCCTAGTTCCAGGCATTGCTAAGCCCAGCCTCATCCCTGCCCTTTTCCGGATCCATGGGCCAATAAATCCTCCTGACTTACACTGTTTCCATTTGGGATTCCATCACTGGCTGTAAAAGAACCCTGGCTACTAAAACTGTCCTCTTTCATTTCTGAGAGCAGGGACCACATGGATCACTTTTTTTTGGCAAAGCTAGTTTTTTCCTAGAACTAGATCACAGAAGGAATGTTTACTTGATTCCATATTGCAGGACATGGAATGACATAATCATTCCTTCACATGTCCATGTAGCACTTTACAGTTGATAAAATTCTTCTGAAAACACCATTAGCTAGCCTGAGTGTCACAGTTTCTCTAAGACATAGCCTTCGTTGGCCCTGTTGTGTGGTTGAGAACACTGAGGCTCAGTGAGATAACTGGTTTATGTCACGCTGCTCAGTTGTGACACTTCTCACTGTTCCATGTGCAATCTCTATAAAGATGAGGGCACGTGACTCTGTCCTAATAGGAGGAGAACGTGCTTTATAGGGTGGATGAGCTAAGAAAGCCTGGCCTGAGCACCTCAATTCAGGGACAAACCTCAGAGTGGGAGGTGACTGCTAGACTGCTTCGCTCATCATGGTTTGCACCAAACCCCACGCAGGTGCTGTCTGCAGCTGATATTTGACTCACGCCTCCTTGTAAGTCTTTGCAACAAGATGCTTTGACGGTGCCTTTGGCCCGGCTGTTTAGAGACTGTCCTCAAATTGGCGCCTGGTCTGAGGACACCTGTCTCAGATTATAAGAATTTCAGAGGTCAGACTGCATCTACCTGAGAGAAGACCAGTAACCCTCCACTAGGGCCTGTGTCCTTCACAAAAGAATCTGGATCATATAGGATCTGCATAAATTCTTTGAATAGCATAAAAGAGGCAACTTTAATTTGGCAAAGACTCATAGCAAGAGTCCCCTCTGCTCCTGTGAACTTCACTTTGCTCCACTTCTTCATCGGCTGGAACACTTACTGAAGTAGGCAGGATAGAGGTCCTTAAAGGATCCACATTCTTATCCCCGAAACCTGAGAATATAGAAAATTTTTGAGGCAAAAGGGCCTTTGCAGATGTGATTAGAGACCTTAAAATAGGAAGATTATCCTGTATTATCTGGTGGGTTCCATGTAATCACAGGGTCTCAGTGTGTAAGGACTCCCTTTTCTCCACAGCCTCACCAACACTTGTGATCTCTGTCTTTTTGATAACAGCCATTTTGACAGGTTCAAGGTGAAATCTCATTGTTCATTGTGACAAGTACTAGGTGACATTGAGCTTTTTTTTGAGACAGGGTCTTACTATGTAGTAAAGGGTGGCCTTGAATTCATGTAGCTCAGGCTGGCCTCAAACTCATGAGAATCCTCTTGCCTCAGCCTCTCCAGTGCTGTGATTACAGACATGTGCCATCATGCCAAAAATGTTGGGTATTTTTTCATATACCTATTCATCTTTGAATATCTTTGTTTGAGCCACTCTTTGCTTTTGATTCAGGTTCTTCATCCATTTTTAATGGTACTATTTTTTCTTGCTTTTTTTTTTTCTTTTCATTTTTTGAACTGGTGATTGTAACCCAGCTCTACCACTGAGCTATATCCCCAGACTGCCTTTCTTTCTCTCTCTTTCTTTCTTTCTTTCTGTCTGTCTTTCTTTCTCTTTTCTTTCTTTTTCTTTCTTTCTTCTTTCCTTCCTTCCTTCTTTCTTCCTTTCTTTCTCTTTCTTTCTTTCTTTCTTTCTTTCTTTCTTTCTTTCTTTCTTTCCTTCTCTTTATCTATTTTTGAGACAGGATCTCACTGAGTTGCCCAGGTTGACCTTGAACTTGCAGTCCTCCTGCTTCAGTCTCCTGCATAGATAGTATTGTAGACATGTGCCACTTCACCCAGCTAAGTTTCTTATATATATTTTTGACTATTAACTTCTTAAAGACACATGGTTTGAAAGCATTTTCTTCCACTCAGTGGGTTGTGTCTTCACTCTGCTGATTTTTTCCTTTCTGTACAGAAGCTTTTAAAGTTTGATTCAGTTCCATATGTTTATTTTTCATTTTATCGCCTTTGTCTTTGGGCACATATAAAAAAATAATTGCCTAGAACAATATCAAGAAGCTTTTTTCATATGTGTTCTTCTACTAGCTTTATAGTTTTAGTCTTTGCATATAAATCCATAATCCAGTTTGAATTGATTTTTTTATAGAATGTGAGATAAGGGTCCAATTTCATTCTTCTATGTGTGGATGTACAGTTTTCCTAGCACCATATATTAAAGAGATGATCCTTTCCCCATTGCATGGTCTTGGCATCTTTGTCAAAGATCAATTGACCATAAATGTGTGGATTTATTTGGGGGATTTCTATTCTATTCCATTGGTCTATGCCTTCAATTTTGCACCAGAACCATACTGTTTTGATTACTATAACTTTGTGGTATATTTTGAAATCAGGTAGTGTGATGCTTCCAGCTTTGTTCTTTTATCATTGTAAACTTCACTCTTTGAATTGTTTTTGCTGTATCTCCTAGATTTGGGTATATTGTGTTCCCTTTTTCATTTATCTCAATATTTTTTAAAGTTTTCTTTTAATTTCTTCTTTGACCCATTGGTTGTTCAGAACTCTACAGTTTAATTTCTAAAAACTTGTGAATTTTCCAACTTTCTTCCTGTTATTTCCTGTTTTCATAACACTTTGATCTGAAAAGACATTGACTATGATTTCAATCTTCTTATTTTTTATTACTGGTTTTGTGGCCTAATATGTGTTCTATCATGGAGAATGTTCTAAGTGTGCTTGAAAGAAAATATGTATTATACTGCTGTGGGATAGACTGTTCTGCATATGTCTGTTCAGTTCATTTGCTGTTCAAGTCTGCTGTTTCCTGATTTTCTATGTGGATGATATGTCTGTTTTAAATGGGATAGTAAGGTTCCCTACTATCACTGTATTGCTATTTCTCCCTTCACTGTTAATATTCGCTCTGATATTTGCATGCATACTTAGGTGATCTGATATTTGGGTACATACACACTTATGTACCTATATCCTCTTGATGAATCTACCCCTTTATCATTATATAATAGCACTCTGTCTCTTGTGACAGTTTGAAATAAATATGAAGTGTCCCCCAGAGTCCCATGAATTAAGAGCTTGATCCTCAATGCAACAGTGCTCAGAGGTGGGGCCTAGAGAGGTGACTGGATCATGAGTGTGCAAATTTCATTGTAAATTAATGTGTCTATGGATTCATAGCTGAATGGGCTATTAAAAGGTGGTGCCCAGTTGAAGGAAGTAGGTAACCGGGAAGTGTGACTTTGAAGGGTATAGCTTCTCCCCAGCCCCTTTCTTCCCCCTCTTTCTGGCTCTTTCCTCTCTCTTTCCTCTCTCTCTCCTCTCTCTCTCTCTCTCTCTGTTTTCTCTCTCTCTCTCTCTTTCTCTCTCTCTCTCTCTCCTTTCTGCTGCCATGAGGTGAGCAGTTTTCTCTTTCCTTTGCCATGCCCTACCATCATGATGTTTCTGCCTTGCTAAAGGGCTAAAAGCAAAGGAGCCAGCTGACCATAAACTGAAGCATCTAAAATGGTGAGTCAAAATATATCTGTTCTTCCTTTAAGTAGTGCATCTCAAATATTTGTCACAATGATGGAAAACTAACACAAAGGCTATTTGTCAGATGTAAGTATAGCCATCCCTGTTTGTTATTCTTTTTATTACTACTACCATTTACATGGAATGTTTTTCTATCCCTCCACTTTCAGCCTATGAGTGTTCTTAAAGCTAAAGTAAATTTCTTGAGTGTAGCAAATAGTTGGACTTTGGTTTTTTGTTTTGTTTCATTTTACCCATTCAACTATTCTTTGTCTTTTAATTGGAGAATTTAATCTATTTACTTTAAAATAATTATTGATAAGAACTTACTTTTGATCTTTTGTTGTTTTCTGTTTTGTAGCTCCTTTGTCCCATTCTTCCTCTCTTGTCTTTGTGATTTTTTCTTTTCAGACCCGGGATCAAACTCAGGACCTTGCGCTTTCAAGGCAGGCACAGTGCCACAGTGCCAGAGCTAAATCCCTGGCCCCTTGATTTTTTTTTTTTTTGATAATCATATGCTTTGATTCCTTTTCCCTCCTTTTCATATCTACTACAGATCTTTTTCTTTGTGATTAACATAAGGCTTATAAAATATCTTATGGCTGCCAACAACTTAATTTTGACCAAAAATTTGATAATTTACCTTTCCCTCCCCATCATATCGTGTTATTGATATCACAACTTATATCTTTTATATACTGCATATTCATTAACAAATTATTATAGCTATTGTTATTTTTGATACTTCTGCCTTTAAAATTTTTTTTTAAGTTTTTTTGAGACAAGGTCCCACTGTGTAGTCCAAGCTGGCCTCAAACATCTTTTAACTTTTGTATGAAGGTTAAATGTTATTAATATATAACCATTATACTAAGAATATTCTGGATTTATCTATAAGAATTCTTAACTGTACAGTGAGTTGTGTACTTTCAAGTGTCCTACTTTTGTTAGCATCATTTTGTTTCAACTTGAGCTCCCTCTGGCATTTCTGGCAAGGCAGGTCTAATGGTAATAACTCCTACTACTTTGTCTGGGATCACCCTAGAATTCTATAACCTACTCATATGACCGCTATAAAGAAAGCAAAAACAAAAGTTTAAAACCAATTAAATGGTAAGAGAAGTTGAAATATTATAATCTTCAGACAAATACTAAGAGAGTTTATTGCTAACAGATTCTGAAAGAATTGTGGTAGGGCACATTTTAGGAAAAAGAAATTCAAACCTAGGAAAGAGAACTAAAATGTAAGAAGCTATGCCAGAAAGAAATACTAATTGTGTTGTTAAATTTAAACCTGGACTAAAAAAAAAAAATCTAAACCTGGTCTGAATGTATAAAATACCAATTATAATCTGAATATCCTAAAAATAAGGTGCCTCTTACTTTTTAATTTTAATTTAATTTTTTTTTTTAAGTACTGGGGGTTAAACCCAGGGCTTCACACATGGGAGGCAAGAACTGTACCTGCCTAAAATGCCAGACAACAGTAAGATAGGAGGGGTACGGTAGAACTCATGGTGTTCTAACATCCTTGTATTGTTTGAAAAGAAGATATAGACAATGACTAACTTGATACTATCCAATATACATATTAAAAATCAAAGGGAACCAAAAAAAAATAGAAATAGTATGTGTTATTTCTTTCTAATACATATTAGTACTTTGCAGTTCCTCAAAGACAATCATTGTAATAGTGTCCCTCCTTCCAGATCCTTTAATCCATGTGCATCAATAGATGTACATATATTTATACTGCATATGTAATATATACTGTACAGTTTCTTGCTTTTTTCACTTAATATACTTTGGTATCTTTTCATATAAATTCTTATTAATGTGAATATATTATACTTTATGACTCGAATTCATCTAATACATCTCTTAATGGACATAAAAGATGTTTCAAATTTCCCACTTGTACATACAACTACAATGAACAGCCTTGAACACATATCTTTGAGTGGTTGAATAATGAAATCTGCAGAATAAATTTTCAGAAGTGGAATGTCTGGGTCAATGGAGATTCACATTTTAATCTTTCTTGGATTCCATCAAATTGCCTTTAAAATGTTCTCAATTTTCCCCTTCCCAACTGAGCATATAGCTCCCTACCATCTCACCAGCATTAAAATTTATTAATTTTTAAACTGTGTTTTGCTACTCTGATTGGTGAAAATATATTTTTGTTGCCTTACTCTGCACTTCTTCATTGATTTGAGCACAATATCTTCCTTCTTAAGTGAACATATAGTTCACGTCTTCTGCACATTTACTGTTGGGGTGTTTTTTCTTACTGAATTGTAGAAAGTCCTTTATACACTAACACTATTAACCTTTAGTATGTAATAAATGTTGAAAATGTATTTTCCTTCAACTTGTCATTTATACTATAGTTTTATTTATGATGGCTTTTGCCTCACAGACATTTCAATATTTATGTAGTTATGCCTTTTTAAAAATTATTTCTTACCTTATTTTCATTTTGTCACCTTGTTTTTAATGATCTGTTAATGATTTTACTCTTCAGTTAATCACGAGTTACTTGAGGGCATGGGCTACATTTTATTCATAACTGTTGATCCCTACTCCAGAAATCACTCTCCCTAGAGCCTTGGATAAGTACTCAATAAATAAACACAATTTTAAATTTTATTGAATTGACAGTTCCGTGTGCTGTCAAATAAGCAAGCATAGGAAATTTAATTCCAAGGTTAAGGTTGAGGGAAAAGCTCCAAGGTGCTTTGGCCTATAAACCAACATGCACAGCGAATTAGAAAGTGTAATTGTAATCAATATATGGAATAAGATCAGGGTTAAATTCAGCTTGTAATAGAAAATTGTTAAAAAGATCATGAAAAATATGTTCTGTATTTGTTTTGCTTTAAAAGCTGTTTTGGTCACTGAATTATCTTCTTTCAGAATCAGAGTTTAATATGGAAGAATCATATTTAATATAAAAATAGTCATGGTTTAATATAAGAAGTCAGAATTTAATATACAATAACAGAGTGATGAGTTCAAATAGTTATCTGGAACTCAATGAGGTGGACCACTTTTCCTACCCATGCCTGCTCTGGGCTGGTGGCAGCGAACCCACTGCAGGACGCATGGGGAAGGGAGGATAGGCAGGATCATACTGTGAGAACTATGTGCACCCAGCTCTAAAATGCTGCTCTTGTTTACACTGCCCATCAAGACGGGAAAGCCAGGTGACCTTGGGGAAATCCCCTGACCTTGTTTTGGTTATTCTGAAATCCCTGCAAGGTCACTGGGTCACCACAGCACTTCCTTTAAAAACTTAAGTCCTGGGAGGCAGGGGAGATTTTCTGTGAAATGATTGCCAAGTCCCTGAATCTCTGGATTCCCTTGGGATTCAGTTGGAGGTGTGAAGCCAGACCCACCACAGCTGTTACCAGCTGTTACTGAGGCTGCCCTGGGAGCCCCTGAGAATGTCAACACCGTCAACACCGCTGCTGCTGCTGCTGCTGCTGCTGCTGCAGGAGTTAAATTCCCAGACCTGGTGTGAAGCTGGAATAGGCCTTGATGTTTTTATCTGCCTGCTGGTGGATTCCTGTGGGGGCCATCTCTTCAGCTGAGCTGCAGTGAGACAGCATGATGGAAAGGGAACAAAGCGGAAGGGGCAGTCTTCAGTCTTGTTCGTGTATAGTTCATCAGCACTTTACTATGTGAATTATACTCTGATCATTTCCTAGAAAGACCCAAGATAACTCGTTAATTCACTTGAATAATGCATGCCAGCTCTCTGGTGGATTTAAGGGTTGGGAGTTGTAAGAGACAGAAATACATGGACAGAAGTAACACTGTATCTTCCGGGATAGTATGGGGCACTACGCGTGCAAGGAATATGGGAACACATGGAAGGAGTAAGCAGTTACAGTCTTCCTCAAGTGGGGATGCGGGAGAAAAAAAGGGAAGGGAGCAACAATTGCTTGAGTGCCTTCTAGTGACAATATAGCATGATGTGGAAGAACATACATAGGCTTTGGAACAGACAAGATTGGGTTTGACTTCTATTAAGCCTCAGTTTCCTCATCTGAAAAAACAGATAATAATAGAACTTTACTGGGTCATTGGGCAGAGTCAATGAAAAAATACATAGAAATCATTTTGCAGTGTGCAGCACATGGCAAGCATGCAACACATGGTCCCTGTCAGTATTTTTATTGTGCGTCAGTCACGAAGGTGGGCTCTGCATCAAAGACTGTATTATACGCATTTCACAGGAGAAATTAAAGATCAGAGCACTCATATAATTTGCCCAAGGCTACACAGCTTGGAAAGAGCAAGAGAAAAATCTAAATCTAACTAATTTCAAAGCCCACTGCTATGTTGTAATGCTTCTGAAGGGAAGTTTGCCAGAAGATGAGATGTTTCAGTTGGGTGCTAAAAAGTGAGTAGAAGTTTCTTTGTGGAAGTTATGGAGGAGGAAACACAAAGACAGCAGAATATGCTAAAGCTCAGGGGGCAAAGATGCAATGGGGGAGGGGTGCCAAGCTTTCTGCCAACAGAGAAGGATCAGACAGAGGCCATGAGGGTAGACAAGGTGGGAGGTTCACTGGTTTTGCCTTGTTCTTTGATCACTCTGAATTTGAACTCCCACAGCAAACAAGAAACAGAATCACACTGTCCCATTATTGGAAGGGGTGCATAGTCTGATAATCTTTGTGAGTCCCTGGAGATCTGTTTGACCAATACCACATTCATCACTGGAACTTTTCAGGATCCCTTTCCTCAAGGTACTGAAGAATTGTCTTGTGTTAGTTTCATTTTTATACCAATAAGAAGGAGAAATCAAGATAGAGAGGAAAACTCACCCCTTGCAATGGTTTGGATATGGTTTGAGTTTGTCCCCCAAAGGTCATGTGGTAGAAGTATGATGATGTGAGAGGAGCTGGAACCTTTAACAGGTGGAGCCTAATGGAAGGTGACTGGGTCATAGGGGGCACTGCTTATGGAAAGGAGTAGAGCTGGTA